TGGTCACCGCCGACATCATGGCCGATAACGGCGTGATCCACGTCGTGGACAAGGTGATCGCAACGAGCTCTTTCCTCTCCGACACCATCGCCGGCAAAGCCTGCGACGCCGCGCTCACGGACACCGTCGGCACTCTCTGCGCCGCGGTTAAGCGTCTACCACGGTGGAAGTCGCGCTCTCGGACGTGACCGGAACCTTCACCGTCTTTGCCCCCAACAACGCCGCCTTTGCTGCCCTTCCAGCCGGGACTGTCACCGACCTGCTCCTGCCAGAGAACGAGCCCGACCTTACCAACCTCCTGCTGAAGCACGCCCTCGGTTCCGTGGTCCCGGCGTCGGACGCGCTGACGCTCACGAACTCCGCCCAAACCACGCTGAACGGGGAGGACATCACGGTCGACGGCTCGACCGGCTCCGTCCTCGTCACGCCCAGTATCCTCGGCGGCGCTTCCACCGTGATCTCCGCCGACGTTCAGACCGGCAACGGCGTGATCCACGTCGTGGACAAGGTGCTCGCTCCGGCCCCCTGATCGACGTGTGTGCTCTTGAGGAGGGGGTGGGGGAGAAGCGCTAGTATGACCGGCTGGCAGCTCGAACTGTAGGAAGCGGGCGCGCCGAGGAGTCCATTATCGTGTACTCCCACCGGGCGTGGGGATGGGTCGCATGAACGTCTGTAGACGAGCACGTACTGTCGCGGGGCGTGACGTGGGTTGAGGATTGTCGAGCGTGCGTGCGTATACCCAAGTATGTCCGTCCGGAGCCCCCGCCATGTGTCTGCGGCACGCGGATGTGCGCGACGTGTTGTCTATTCCGGACGCTGCGACTGAGCAGACTGCTGTGTACTACATACTTGTTGTAGATTCAAACAGGCGCGGCCACTCTCCACGATGCACGCGCGCGTACACAGTGATCAGTGTGCACAATCCGGCTCGCTCGTTGGGACCCGCGCGGCCCCCCCACGGGGCGGCCCGACAGGGAGTTGGTCTCACACCTCCACGTCGTCCGGCAGCGAGCCGGGAGGGGCCTCGTCGATCGGCACCACCGAGTCGACGGTGCCGTCGCCCGTCGAGTCAATGGCCACTGAGTCGGGCACCTTGAAAGGGAATGGTGGGGTTGGGTGAGGTGGGAGGGGGAGAGGTACACTCCTCCACGCGCTAGTGGGTGGGGCAGGGGCCAGGCTATCCCTCTCACACCTTGTCCATTGTGGTGTCGAGCAGCTGGCCCGGCGTCAGCCGCGTGAAGCAGCGCTCGCGGATCCGGCGCGCCTCCTCCCCCTCCATCTCCTTGGAGCCCGTGAAAGCGTCGTAGTACTTCCTCATCTCGCGCACGTCGTCCGGAGAGCCGAGCAGCACAGGCACCCGCTGGTGCACGCTCTGCGGGACCAGGTCCATGATGCGCGTCTTGCCGGTCAAGGCGAGGCCTCCCGCCTGCAGGAAGGTTCCAGGAAGTGTCTAAAGACTGTCTAGGAGGTGTCTTCCCGGTCAGGGCGAGGCCCCCCGCCTGCTCGACCAGGAATGCCATCGGCGCCGCCTCGTACAGCAGGCGAAGCTTGCCGTTTGCATTCTTTGAGTCTGCGGGGTAGCCAAAGATGCCTCCGTAGAGCAGCGTCCGGTGCACGTCGCCAACCATCGACCCAATGTACCTCGCGGTGTAGCGCTCGCCGCTCTCTCCGTTGCCGTCCTGCAGGTCCTCGATGTACGTCCGCAGCGGCGCGTCCCACGCCTTGCGGTTCGCCTCGTTGAGCGAGTAGATCGCGCCTCGCTGCGGCACCGCCACGTTCGGGTGCGTGGGGACAAACTCGCCGATGTGCGGGTCAAGCGTGAAGATCTGCACGCCGGCGCCGAGCGTGAGGGCGAAGAAGGTGGAGGAGGAGTAGAGGCAGTAGCCCGACGCGACGAGCGACGAGCCCGGCTGCAGTGTCGCTGCCATGCACTCCTCAGAGACGGCTCCTGGGCACAAACAGGCGGGTGTAAAGAGGCCTAGTTCATACGCCGACGTGCCCTTCAGAGACGGGACTCCCTCGCAGTCGTCCTCCACCGCCGGGCTGTACAGGTCATCGCACCCCTCCTGCACCTCCGGCAGCACGCACTCGGCGGCGCTCATGTCGAAGATGCCGAAGATGGTGCCCGTCGGAATGCCGGCGTCCACGTTGGAAGAGCCGTCGAGCGGATCAAAGACAGCCGTGTACCTGCCCGCCTCGTCGATGATCGCGTCACCTGCCTCGTCCGAGTACTGGCCAACGCCCTCGTCCTCGAGTACGTCGACGGGCGCCTCCTCCTCCTCAGACGCGATCACGCCCATCTTGCCCGTGAAGCGGAGCGCCCTCTTGAGCACGTCGTTGGTGAGCACGTCGAGCGTCTTCTGCTCCTCTCCCTGCACGTTGATCGACCCGCCGCCGTCGGCGTACCCCACGATGCCCGTGATGTGCGCCCGTGTGACGAGGGAGTTGATGGTCTTGCACGCCTGTGGGGCCCGCCAGCAGGTCGCATGTGCATGTGCATGCCAGGGAGCGGGAGTGAGCCGGCGGCTGTGCACGCCGTCTGGATCGACGAGATGAGCGTCTCCAGGTCATTCAGGCCCGGGTTGGCGCGTGCGATCTCGCACATGTACCGCGTCAGCGTGATGCCAGTGTACTCACACACCTCGGGGAAGACTGGGACGGCGACGGACCTGCGGTGCAGTACGTGCAGTACCGAGAGTGGGAGCTGGGAGATATGGGATGGACGTTGGTGTGAGAGCGGTGACAGAGGCAACCGGAACAGGTAGCTCAGCGAAAATACAGGGACGGTGGAGATTGCACCTCTCGGCTGTTGCTGCTGCCGCCTTCGCTACCGCCGTCGCCATCGCCTGATCTGACGCTCTGGCCACGGACCGCCTTGGCGCCGCAGCCGCAGCCACTCGCAGTGAGTCGACGGCGGCGCAGCAAAACAACAGGAGCACGAGACGTACCAGCACGCCAGCCCGCAACATTTGGTTAGCAGAGGGCACCCTCTCCGGTACAGTGAGTTTAGTCGAGGGGGAGAGAAAAAATCAGGGCCGCGCGGGTACCCCGGAGATCTGCACAACTCTAGTAAAGAAACCCGGTCGGTCCCAGCCACCCCTCGCGCCTCGGAGCGTGCACTATCGCACCACTCAGCTATAAGTCACAGCGATTTCAATCACGCCTGTCACATTTCAATCACGCCTGTCACTCTACAAGCAGCCCAAAATCGCCCTCGAACTCCTCGAGGTCGCGCTGGCGCGCCGCGCCGTCCGGGCCGTAAGAGCCGAGCCCGGTCTGGGCCCGCTCTAGCCAGCCGTAGAGGAGGGGGCGGCAGCGCTTGTAGGCCAGAGCCCCGTCCACCGCCTCGTACCAGCGCTGCAGGTCGCGCATCCTCTTGGGAGGGAGGCGGAGGACAGTGGTGGCGGGAGGGAAGGCGGTGGAGATGGTGGCAGTGTCTGGCACGGTGACGCGGGTCAGGGAGGGGCAGCCGGCGAAGGCGTTCATGCCGATGGAGGTGAGGCCAGCGGGGAAAGTGACGCGGGACAGGGCGGAGCAGCGGTCGAAGGCGCCGCTGCCGATGGAGGTGAGGCTGGCGGGGAGGGTGACGAAGCCGAGGGAGGAGCAGCCCCAGAAGGCGCCGATACCGATGGAGGTGAGGCCGGCAGGGAAGGTGACGGAGGAGAGGGAGGAGCAGCAGTGGAAGGCGTAACTGCGGATCGAGACGAGGCCGGCGGGGAGGGCGACGTTGGCGAGGGTGCAGCAGCACTCGAAGGCGCGGTGGCCAATGGAGGTGAGGCTGGCAGGGAGGTCGATGGAGACGAGCGAGGAGCAGCCTTCGAAGGCGCTGTTGCCGACAGAGACGAGGGTGGCAGGGAAGGTGACGGAGGAGAGGGCGGAGCAGCTGGAGAAGGCGCGGCTGCCGATCGAGGTGAGGCCGGCGGGCAGATTGATGGCGGCGAGGGAGGAGCAGCCGGCGAAGGCGCGGCTGCCGATGGAGGTGAGGGCGGGGGGTAGGTCGATGTAGACGAGAGAGGAGCAGTATTCGAAGGCGCGGGTGCCGATGGAGGTGAGGCCGACAGGGAGGGTGACGGAGGAGAGGGCGGAGCAGCCGCAGAAGGCGCCCTCGCCGATGGAGGCGAGGCTGGCGGGGAGGTCGATGGAGATGAGGGAGGAACAGTTGTAAAAGGCCCGGTTGCCGATGAAGGTGAGGCTGCGCGGAAAGGCGACCGAGACGAGAGAGGTACGGTCGAAGAACGCCTCATCCGGCAGGTGCGTCATGCCTTCAGGCAGCACCGCGTGCCCATCGGCGACGACGACCTGCCAGCCGCCCATGTCCAAAGTCTCGGAGCCGGGCGGCGGCGCGGCATCGCTCGGCGGCGGCGCAGAAGTCTGGGGCACCATCGAGGCGGGAAAAGAAAACGCTGACCGGCACAAATCGTATAACAAACCGCGTTCTTGCTCGTAGAGCCCGTCCCCGAGCATCCGGCCCTGGCTGCGCTTCTTAGCTCCCCGGCCCTGGATGTGAGGTTACCAATCGCACTCCAAGTGCCCTATGTTTTCACTCGACGCATTACTCTGCTTTGCGCGCACGGTCTACAGCGATCTTCCGCGGCCTAGCCCCCTCGCCGCCGCCGCCAGTCCTTCTCCTACCCCCGCCTGCGGCAGCCGAGTCGCCGCCGCCGCCGGCTGCCGAGCCTCCGCCCGCCCAGGCGGCGGCGGCGGTCCTGCGCGATCCCCACCTGAACTTTGCATACGGCGGGAAGGCGGACCTGCGCGGCCGCGACAATGCGCTCTACGCCTTCCTGTCCGCTCCCGGTATCGCGGTCAACGTCAAGACGGAGGTCGCGGTCTTCAAGCTCCACGAGGGTGCGCTCAAGGTCAACGGATCCTTCCTCACGGAAGACTGCAGGCAAAAACGGGCGGGGTGATTTCGGTCATCCGTCAAAATATCTGAAGATCTGAATGGGCTTGTGTTGCAGTCATGGGCATGTCTTGAAGGTCCGATACTGGAAGCCCATATAGGCACCTTGCACTCCCCCGCAGTATCGCACCTCTTGAGCGACACTACGTTTCCGCAGCTGGGGATTCTCCGGGTACCCCTCTTTGTACCCGTGCTGGCCGGATTCCTCCTCCGAACAAATCAAGTTCGATCGGCCCCAGTCTCGAACTGGCAGCCACTATCTCACCGGAGGTACCATGTCCGAGGAGGCCACCGGCCAAAAGCGCATGTCTTGAAGGTCCGATACTGGAGCCCATATAGGCACCTACAGTTACAGCCTAACTATTTCCGCGATAAACACGTTTTTTGTTCATTATTCGCGTTTCCTTTACGCGTTCCATCACCCCGGCGCGCCCAAGTACGCTTTGATCGGGTCAGGGGAGAGTGCGACTTTTACCACCCGAGTGTCGTAACTGGTCTAGACGCTCCACAAGCACTGCCCCGGGGCACTATACTAGTGGCACTATATGCTCCGTTGTTCGTGCTCTGGGGTCTTCTGGCTGCTCGTAGCAGCAAATGGGGCGTCGCTGAACACGACGGACATCTACGAGAACTTGTATGCGAATCACGGGTATCACGCTGACTTACGCCTCTCGCACGCCAGCAGTATATTGCATTTGCTGCAGTCTGTCGCGGGTGCATTCGACCGGCCTGTGTTGGACGTGGGCTGTAGCCACGGGCTAGCTGTCGAGAAGCTTTGGAAGATGGACATCTCGGCGATTGGAGTCGACATCGCCCCAACGGCTGTCCAGAAGGCGAGAACGCACCGAGAGTTTCGGCATTCGCTGTGCGGCGAGTTCCCGTGCTTCCAAGTCGGCACCGCGACCACGTTGCCTTTCCCAGACAAATCCCTTGATGCCATATTCTCGACGGACGTTCTCGAGCACCTGCTACCAGAAGAAGCACCGGCGATGGTGACTGAATTCCTGCGTGTCACCCGCAAGATGTTGTTCCTAAAGATCGCGACCACGACGGAGATCAACAAGCAGCCAATAAACGCTCTGAAAATGTCAAACCGCACACGATATCAGGAGCTCCAGGCACTGCACACCACTGTTTGGCCTATCAGCAAGTGGGCAAGCCTCTTTGCGACCAAACATCGTAGACTCTCGGTATTCTCGTCGGGCGACACGCTCGCAATCTGGATCTAGCTCTTGCCGGCCACCCACACACTACGCAAGGGTGGAAATGCGAGCGACAGCGAGGGATCCTCTTTAGCGTCGGGATATAATAAAAGACCAAATAATATATGTTGTATATAAAAAGTCAAGCCGACTATATATTGCAAAAATGAGCGCCGTGCGAACATTTTGACGTCATGACCACTTTTTGATACTCTTTTGATAGACGGTTGCTCCCAGCGCCCTCCCCCGCGCTTCCTGCGGCCATGGCCGATGAACCTAGTATGGGAGATCACCTGGCTGGGCCGCGAGAGAGCGACCCAACTCGTCGACATCGCTCGATAAAGGGCATGTGAACGTCAGCGCCGGCCCCCGCCGACGAACACGAGCGGATTCGGCATCGCAAGCCGAGGCGAAGGCGACGTCGTCGGCCAACAACTTGGCCTGACGCACAATCGCCCCCACCCTTGCTTGGGCCTTGGCTGACACGCTCGGCGTGCCACCTTCCGCCAGCGCTCGCCTTTCTTTCGCCTGACAATCGCATTACTTCAACATAAATAGATACGATGGTGAAGAACCGCCGTGTTGCGTGACTCTGTGCGATATCGGGCCCGGGGTTGTGCGTTTACGTAGGTAGGTAGGTAGAAAGTTTACGTGAAGAACCGCACAGCCTGCCCATGCGGCACAAGGAGCCGAACCCTCTCTCGCTCGATGACGGTTTATCTGCTTCAAGCATGCTGCTGGCTCGCGGCCATAGCTGCCGTGGCGCCTTTTCGAGTGCGTCCGACATGTGCTGGCTGCGACCGTCCGATCCACATGAGCTGTACTGCCTCGTCATGGGACAGTTTGGCGTCTCGCCTGCCCAGCCTCGCCGCCGAACAGCCGACACTGCTCGACCCGGTGCTGGCTCCGTGTCCCGCGAGTCCATCTGGGCTGACGCTGTTCCGCGAGCGGCATGGATGGTGTCCGTATTCGGAGAAGGTGTGGCTCGCGCTGGAGCTGAAGGGCCTCGCCTACAAGACCGTTCTCATCGACAACATGGGCGGCGGGCGGCCGGACTGGTACCGCGGGCAGACGCCGCAGATCCAGTGGGCCGACGGTCGGACGCAGGGCGAGTCGATGGACATCGTCAAGGCGCTCGACGCCGAATACCCGGCCAGCCGCCCGCTGTACCCGCCAGAAGGCGCCTCGATGTCGAGCGTCGCACAGATGATCAGCGCCTTCCGCCAATCCTTCCCGTCCAACGCGCGGCCCTCCTCCCGTGCCGCTTACCTCTTCAGCTATAGCGGCCCACTCTCGCGATCGGACTTTGAGAAGGCGCTCGATGCGACCGAGAAGCTCTTGGCGCAGCACGACGAGGGGCCCTTCTTCGTCGGCCGCGAGCTCTCGGCGGCCGACGTCTCGTGGGCGCCGTTCCTCGAGCGTTACGCGGCGCAGCTGCCGTGCTTGCACGATGGGCTGCTGCCCCGCGACGCCAGCCGATGGCCGCGGCTCGCGGAGTGGTACGCTGCGATGGATGAGGTCCCCGAGTACGCCTGCCGCGTGAA